CCCCCCCCCCCGCCACCGTTGTTCAGGCAAGCTGGCGGACAACGAGGTGGTGATGGCACACCCTTCCGTGAGCCGATCCCACGCCCTCCTCGTGGTGGACAGGTCTTTGGGAGCGTTTCTCGTCGACCTGGGCGCATCCAACGGATCCTTCGTTGATGGACGGGTGAGCGAAGGCGAGCCCTCTCCGTGTATTGTCTTGTAGTCGTTGTCGGTTGGCCAATGAGCCTGGCTGCTGTATGTACTCGTGGTACATGTATATGCAGTTTTGCGTTTCTGAGGCGTGCTGCTGGCCGTGCGAGTAGCATTGGTCATGGTGTTCGTAATGTGGCGTTGGTACGTGGTGGTGACGGTGTTGGTTTTTCTTTGCTCCACACATATGTTTGCTACGCGCATCAGCCTTGCACACAAATACCGGTCACAGGTACGGTGAAGGTCGCAGCACGACCGAGCCCAAACCGGCAATCGTAGCTTCAGTACAGCACAACAACGAATGTGCACCTCCCACCACCGACAAGGACAGCTTTTTCCAAGCGTCTCTCTATTCCTCACGGCATTAACTCTCTGTACCTCACGGCTAGACAACGACGATCGTGATTGCTGGATACGTTGCCCATCTACCTCAAGTGGCCTGTTATTTCCTTTCCTGGTTCATGTCTTTGGTGGGGTAATAATGCTCGGCAGTTGTGCCCCCACCCCACCCCTGATTGCTGTGCGTGTGTTTGTTCTTTCGTCTCATGTCGACTTTTTGGCGGAACGGTTTGCTCGCCCATACCCCAGCGGATATCACCGTATGTTCCGGAGCCCATCAAGGCCGGCGGTGCTGGCCTTACCTTCGCCAAGTCAAAGCGCACGTACACCCTCACGCAAGTCGAGACGAACCTTAGGGAAGCCAAGAAAGGACGGCTGTATGCCAGCATGTCTGATCCCATGGCGTCCGCCGCGCAGCCCGATCCAGACTCGACGGTGAGTGAGCGTCAATATTAAATGTTTCGATTTGCCGGCACCGCAACACGTTAGCTCTTCTTGAGGACAGGAGAGCAGAAGGCAGGAAGGCATGTGGGATAGATGGAAGCTGCAAGCAGCAGTGGAAAACGGGAGGATCCAGGAAACAACGCAGCCGGTTCAGCTTAGCTTGCGAGTAGTACAGCTGTAGGAGACAGCGAGGGCAACAGGCAGGAGAGCAGCAGCCGACGCACACAGGACCGATATGATGTAGGCCCTGTTGAGTCAACATAAGTCCAACCCCCATGTTTTCTCGTTTCCGAAGAAGAGGTAAACCGGTAGGGTAGTCCCACGGTATGCGAAGCGAAGAGCCAGACCGGCCAAGGCGTCTTGTGTAAATAAAGCTTTGGGGGGCGAACCACACCGCCCGTTTCGACGACCTCGTTTTACCCCGCTCAAGTTACCAAAAGGTCAACCCACCAGTCCGTCACATCTGTCCGAGATAGCCGTGCGCACGTATGCATAGCCCTTGCTGTGACATCTCGGTGAGCTGAAATTGCTCGACGATCACAAGACACATGCTAAAGCAACAGCAGGTACGCCACAAAAGGCTTTCTGTGTTTTCGGACCCTCCTTCAACTCTGCAGTTGACATAAATTCCTCTACCGACTTCTGCTGCTGGCGTTGTCGTTGTCGTTTCGCTGGGGCACTCTGTTGTACGGCCAGGTTTACGTGGGCAACTTGGATCCCTCGGTGACAGAAGACGACATTCGCGAGTTCTTCGCGGAGTGTGGAGCGATCGCGTCGGTACGTGCTCTTGCCATCCTTTGAGTTGATATGCATAAATACACGTGTTTTCGTCCAGCACGTGTATACGTATTTTCTGTAGTCCCACGCGGACGCGCGACCGAGGTGTCGTTATGTGTGATCTGGCTCAAGCTGAACCTGTGGCGATTTTTGGCCCCGTTTCGCCTCCCTGGGGTTTCCGGCGGTGGAACCGAGATCTACGATGAACGGCTGGAAGTTTGCGGCTGTGAACGCGCCATGCTCCTTCCGGTCTCGCGTTGCGTCGCACGCGCGTTTTATCCTGGACGTATGCCGTGCCCCCGTGCCCCCAAGCATTGAGCGCCGTGCTCCGGATCGTTCTGCCTGGCAGACATGGGCGCTGAGCCTTCCCAACACGGGCCAGGATGCCACGCCATTTTTCCGTTGCGACCGGAGTAGCGGTCGATTGTTCCCCCACGTCTTACACGTTATGAATAGTTGATAGAGTTGCCTCCGAGAGTAGTTGCTCCGAACCAAATATTTGCGCAGCTTTTCAAGACAGCAATTGACAGGAACCAAATATTTGCGCAGCTTATCAAAACAGTAGTTGACTGGAACCAAATATTAAGTATCAATATGTAGTCGGGGCAAAACTCATTGTTTCTTTTGTCGCTTCGATTGCCTTCATCTTGTTGATTTACGTCTCGATGACGGTGGCTCAGATACATGCACGCACTGTTGATTCGAGGATGCACGTTTCCGGAACCAATCTCAATCTTCCTTCCAATGACATCAGGCTGGGCTCCCTCCGATCCCCCGCCCCCTCACTTTCAAGCACAAAATGTTCAAAATAGTTGTCAGGACAAATATGAATAGTTGACAGAGAGTTGCCTGCGGCAGTAGTTGCTCCGAACCAAATATGTCACACCCTGTACAAATACAGTATTTGGTAGTTGATTCCCAATCAACTACTTACCTGAAAAGCTGCGCAATTACTTGGTTCCAGTCAACTATTGTTTTGAAAAGCTGAGCAACTATTTGATAGCAATCAACTACTTTCCAGAAATGTTGAGCAAATATGATTGCAGTCAACTACTGTTTCGAAAAGCTGCGCAAATATTAGATGGCAGTCAACTACTGTTTTGAAAAGCTGCGCAAATATGTGGTTCCAGTCAACTACTGTTTTGAAAAGCTGCGCAAATATTTGGTTCCTGTCAATTGCTGTCTTGAAAAACTGCGCAAATATTTGGTTCGGAGCAACTACTCCCGGAGGCAACTCTCTGTNATATGATTGCAGTCAACTACTGTTTCGAAAAGCTGCGCAAATATTAGATGGCAGTCAACTACTGTTTTGAAAAGCTGCGCAAATATGTGGTTCCAGTCAACTACTGTTTTGAAAAGCTGCGCAAATATTTGGTTCCTGTCAATTGCTGTCTTGAAAAACTGCGCAAATATTTGGTTCGGAGCAACTACTCCCGGAGGCAACTCTCTGTCAACTATCATATTTGTCCTGACAACTATTTTGAACATCTTGTGCTTGAAAGTGAGGGGGCGGGGGATCGGAGGGAGCCCAGCTTGATGTCATTGGAAGGAAGATTGAGATTGGTTCCGGAAACGTGCATCCTCGAATCAATAGTGCGTGCATGTATCTGAGCCACCGTCATCGAGACGTAAATCAACAAGATGAAGTCAACCGAAGCGACAAACAAACCAATGAGTTTTGCCCCCGACTATATATTTATATTACATCACGTTCATCATCATTGTTTACGCGAGTTGAAGCCACCCAGAACGAAGAAGAATAAATTGCAATAGACCAACCGACCACCATCTCGGTAATCCTCTCGTGGCCAGAGACGACGGTCGTCTCGTGACCACCAAGTATCGGCAACTACTTTCCAGAAATGTTGAGCAAATATTTGATTGCAGTCAACTCCTGTTTCGAAAAGCTGAGCAAATATTTGGTTCCAGTCAACCACTGTTTTGAAAAGCTGCGCAAATATTTGGTTCCAGTCAACTACCGTTTTGAAAAGCTGCGCAAATATTTGGTTCCAGTCAACTGTTTTGAAAAGCTGCGCAAATATTTGGTTCCTGTCAACTGCTGCTGTCTTGAAAAGCTGCGCAACTATTTGGTTCCGAGCAACTGCTGTCTTGAAAAGCTGCGCAAATATTTGTTTACAGGCAAATACCCGTATTAGTTGAATACCCTCAAATAATAATTGCATTTACATTTGATATCTGTACAGGGCGTGCACTTTTTATCGCTGCCGCCATGGTACGCGTTTTTACGACTGACCAAACGCCGCTCTGTATGTATGTTTCCTGTTTCCTCTCCCCTCCCGGAGATCGTGTCTGAAAGTCAAGCATGCACCCACGTTTTTTTTTGTCTCTGCCTTGGGTCGCGAAACTCAATTTTCCGTTCATTCTCGCCCCGCCCCGCTTTCCTGCGTCTGGGGGGGTGTTGGGTGTCGTTCGTTTTCTGCCTGTTCTTCTTTATTGGGAGATCCGTATTCCTCAGGACAAGGCGACGGGCAAGATGCGAGGCATCGCTTTCGTCGCATTCGCCAAGCATTCGGGGGTGCTGCAGGCGCTCACGCTGCACATGGACGATCTCAAGGGCCAGAGCGTCAAGATCAGGCGTGCCGACACTGCCAAGCCCCGCGAAAACGGCGGTGCGCAGCACAAGAAGCCGGTGCCGAACGCTACCGCTTCCGCGCGACCTTCACCGCGCGCCGTGCAAGGCGCTGGAGGCATGGGCAGCGGCGGCGGCGGCGGCGGAGGTGCTTCCGACCCCGCTATGAAGAGCGCGATAGAGTTGGCGACGGCGGCGGTCATTAAGGCGGCGGAGGCATCGAAAGCCAATGCCGCGGCCGCCGCCGCCGCCGCCGCCGCTGCGGGTGGGGATGGCGGACAGGGCGCCCCGAAGCGGCAGAAAACACGCGATGGGTTTGGCGAGGAATCCGCAACGGCCAGGAACAAACGAGGCAACAGGTGGGGCGACACTCAGGAAGAGGGCGGCAGAGGGAACGGGCACAGCATGCCGGGAACGACGACAATATCGACCGCATCTGGAACGGCCGGTGCTGACGACGCAGGTGCAAGGAAAAGCCATGGTGAGGGAGAACGGCGGCGAGATCGGCGGGGTGGAGATGAATCCGTTCGGGATACAGGCGGCAGGTCCCGAGACGACGGCGGGGGCAGCCGGAGGGACGGTGATCGGTACGACGGTAGACACCGAGGAGACAGTCGAAGGCGCGATGACGGCCGCGGCGGCGGTAGAAACGCGACTGGTAGGGGCGAGGACAAGGGGAGGAGGGAGGTCAGCGACGACCGGTCTGGCGGCGGCGGGGGTGGTGGTGAGAGGAGGACCCACTCGGATCGCAGCCGGGGCGGCGGTCGTTCTGGTCGGGAAAGTCGACGCAGCGAGAGCTTCGACAGATACGGTGCCAGGGGCGAGCGAGGCAGACGAGACGATGAACACGTGCACCGCAGGGCGCCTCGCGAGAACGGAAATGGCAGCGGCGGCAGCGGCGGCGGTAGATCCGGCAGAGGCCGGCGGGACGACTGGGACCGGGCAGGGGACAGAAGGGGGGACAGCGAGCGTGGCGGCCGCGTAGAGGACGAAGGCAGACGCCATCGGGATGTCAGCATGGACGACGGCGGGAGGCACAGGGACAACGGAGGCGGGGGCAGCAGCAGCAGGAAGAAAGGCGAAGAGGGAAGCAGCAGAGACAGGAGGAAGGATAATTATCACGGAGATAACCGCGGTGCGGCGAGGCCGAGGTCCCGCTCTCGCTCGCGCGGTCGGCGATAATGGCGTATCCTGTCCGCCGGAGTTGAAACAGAGCACGACACGGCGGGAAGTATCCCCGCCTGCCATGGGTGCACCACCCTCTTTTGCGGAGCAAGTTTTCGTGTGGGTTTGCAATATGTCGGGGAGAAGTTGTTCGTTTCGTCCCCGGTGGAAAGGGGATGGGCACAGCCTCGACTCGCGAGTCCTTGAGCTTTGTCCAAACAGTTGGGTACAACAGCCTGGAAACTTGTGTATCGGTCCGACGTTCAGAAAGTTCTTGGCTGGCCTCCGGTTGATGTCACCATCTGCGCTCGGTATGAACGGTGGGCCTCATGGAGACTTCTTCGATAGCTGCCAATGGGCAACGAATCCATCAGTATTGCTTCTTCAGATGGCGACGGAGAATGCACCGCTTAGAGGATGTTTCGCGTGTGTGTGCTGTCTGGCATTCCGGTTTACAAGCGTAGACTACTCTCAATTCACTGCCCTGCTTGTGAGGGTCAGCGTTCCTTTCCCTTCCTCGGCAGATGACAGCGAGGTGAGGCAAGAGGGGTATGTCAAGCCCAACAGACGGAGAGCAGCTGATGGCTGCCACACTCGCAACGTTTGCGGGGGCATTAAGGAATCACCTCAGTTCAAGGCGGGCCAAGGAGAAAGGCTCACATGTACCAGATGCTCATGACGGACGGACGGCAAATAGATCCTTATGGTCCTTACGATCTCCGTTTGGTTGTTTACCGAGCGAGGCGGCCTGAGGTTGTGCATGACGGCACCGACCACAAGGAAATATACATATACACTGGTTGATGTATCCGCTGTCGAGACTGTAACAGCGGCAGAGCCACAACTCCCGGCTACCAAATTGGGTTGTATTTCCCGTGCGTTTATTCATCGAATCTCACTCGAACAAAAAGTGTATGTTGTGGGTGCTCAAAAAGCACAGAGGTGAGTGTGTCTACCTAATAAATAAAATGTGTGTCATCTCTTCTATCTCTCCGCCACCACCACATACCCACTTGCATGTCCATCCTGGAGATGAAAAATACCACCGCCGTCGCTGCTCTCCCGAAACCTTTACATGTATACAGGCGCTTGAAAACCAAAGCAAATCATACAGAAAAGGCCATCGCCGGAATCCTGGTACCCCCCCGCCCCCGCGCGCTGTTATGGGCCGCCCAATAGAGGTGGGGCACGTTAAATTTCAACTCCGTGTACACTCACTGGAGTGGGCACCCGAGACAGTGGCTGCACCTCAAGAGTACGCGAGTCTGACTACACACGACACGCCGGAGGGAACCGAATCCTGGCCAAGGTTAACGTTGGTCCCGACTAAAGTATCGACGCACAGAAAGGAAAAGCAAAAAATGAACTTTCGAATGTTGGGGAATATATTCCACCACTAACATGGAGCGAGGAGGCTACAAAATACATTTCCCTTCGTCAGCCAATTTGTGATCAAACACCAAGATACCTTTCCCAACCGCACCAAAACCTCCGTCACCTCCCAGTGGTCTTCGGGAAAAACTCCACGACGACAGCAACAGCGGTCGTCTAGATAGTCGCAAGACTCACTTGTACAAAGAGAACCCATCCACGCGCAACTTAGTTTACGTACATCAAAACATCCCTATTAATAGATAGATCAGGGCGAGACGCACTAGCGGGGCTCAAGTTTCCATCTGCGGGCCTCGAGTCCCCAAATACTGTGCTGGCACGCATTCTCCTGTCGAACGGAACCTAACCGGAAGGTGCGGGTAAACCCTCCACTGTGCATAGTCTACAAACCAAGGGTTGGCCTGGGGAGTGTTCTGGACACCACGCGGAACTGCTGCCAGGCATACACCGGCGGGCACGTAGCTCGCAACCAACAGCCCGTAGAGGTTGCCTTGTTATCGCGCCGTGCGGCAAAGCGGGAGACGAAACTACACCGTTCGAGGACTTGCAGGAGGCATGCTTCGTTCCTGGCGAATTTTGAGCTAACCGGGCTGTGAGGCACACACACGACCTCTTTCGCTGTTGGTATATGGCACGTAATAGACCATTCCGACCCCCCGTACCTCTTGTTCCGCAATACGTATTCTAACCGGGAGAGATACAAATTGCCATGGCCAGAGGCTATGCCCTTAATTTAGCAAGGTACACGCAAAACAAAAAAATTACTCAGAAAAGAGTGAGCCCGAACGCAACACTCGCAAAAAACGAAAAAGACCAAAAATTGGTAAAAATCCAGAAAGGCGAATACGCAACGGAGTACAAACAGCTCAAAGGAAAGTAGAGCAGACACTCCCTCTCAGAGGCGGTCGGCTCAAGTGTGCTAAAAAAAAACAAGGGAGGTGGCATCTCTACCGTCATCAAGTGCGCGAGTCGCGCGCCCCACCAACACCACGGGCCTCCTTCGTCCAGCCCATGCCCTTCGCCCAGCCGCTTCCCTTAGCCCATGTTCGTGTCGACCTGCGCGGCTGGGACAGGGCATCCTCGGCGCCACCGCCCCCTTCTTCATCGGCCACAGCGGAACCATCTGCGTCAGGGTCAACGCCTACCGATGTCGCGCGTACTTCGGTGGCGTCTCTCCCCTCGTCCTCTGCTAGTTCAGCGGCCCCTGCGTCATCAACAGATGGCGCGTCGACCGCCGCCGACGCATCAAGCGGGGCCGTGACCTCCCGAATGACCTCCCAGATCTTGTCGCACAGGTCGACTTTTTTTTCCTCCTCGAGGACGGCACCGCCATCAGGGGCATCCCCCCCCGACAATGACCGCTCGTTTCTCGGTTCTCCCGGGGGCCCTGCCCCCGCCCGTCCTTCCCCGCGAACGAACGACGTGCCGGCGAACATCAGGCCTGACGAATCCATGGCGGTCTTGAGGATTTCCGCCGTCGACCCCTGCATGTGCGTGTGTGTTTTGACAAGAGCGGGGGTGTGTTGGGGACTAATATCAACATTCTTTCTCCCCCCCCCCCCAGGGTTTACCATCGGGATCGGGTTTTCGTCGCTTGGCAACGACGTTGTAAAACAAGCCAATTCTCTTCGTGAACTCGGCAACCAGGTAACCGTTTTTGTTTTTTTACCTCGTTTTTTTTTGGGGGGGGCGGTAACCATAATGGTGGTCGAGTAGATCATGTTGTGCGGGGTGGAGAACCCTCGCTCCGCGCAAGGGGGATGATCGCACCACGTTGTGTNGGCTTCGTACGGATGCGAGGTCAATGGTCTAACGACTACGGCATGCACGAATATGAGTACAACCCCCCCCGCCCCCCGCCCCCCCCCTCTCTCTCCCTCTCTAGAAGTTACCGTCCTGTAGTCTAGTTTCTAAACACAATACTCCGGAAGGCACTGCTCGGTTTGTCGTGTTGTTGTGTCTGAAGACAGCACCAGCAACGAACACGCTGCGACTGTTTTGGTTGCGGCGGCGACCTTTCAGGTAGCCATCAAGCACCTTGGCACCAACTCATCCAAGAGAAGGTAACGAAAAGACTCACGTGCTGCTCATCGTCCTCGAGAGCCGCCAGCACTTGCGACGCAAGCGTCGCTAGCTTTGCAACCTCCACGTCCTCTGTATGGGCAGGGATTCCAAGCGCGGATACAAGAGCGTGTGCGGCGGCTGCGGTGTTTCCGAGGGTTTCGTGAGCTGCGAAAGAAAGGCGGGTGCGCAAAGCGGGGGGGCAGCCGTGTCTTTGGACCGAACACATCAACGCTTTCTGAGCTTAAAGACATGGGTTCCTTCAAAGTTCTTCCCAAGTCTTCGTCGAGTTTCGCAGAGCAGAAAAGCGCAAAAACGCCATATTTTTCCACCGAGTTTCGAACCGTCGTCGATGAACTGACGCAGGATGCCACCTACTAGTGCAGGCGCGTCTGTGAACTTACCCAGAGCCGCGTAGTAGAAAACTTCCCACCACCCTGGGTCGATGGAGGCCGCCTGCTCGAACAAAGATATCGCTTTTTCCGCCTCACCCTGCTGCAGCTTGACCACGCCCAGCTTGGCCTTGTCTCTCGCGCGCTTGGCGTCGACATCGGAAACGATCGCAACACCATTCGCAGCACCATCAGCGGCACCTGTCACAACACTGCCGCTCTCCGATCCCGCCGTTCCACGGGGAAAATCACCCGCACTGGGTCCCACGCTGATATCGGCACCTTTGATCGCCACGTCGGTCACACCGCCCTCAGAAGAACCGACGCTTGCGGTCTCTGCGGCGGCTGCGGCGCGCTCAAGGACGACACCACCCTCTCCTACCGACGTCCTGTCCTCTATCGCTTCTTTTGCGCAATCGTCCTCTCCTTTTCCTTCCCCCGCTGCCGTGCTTGCATCACCTGTCGTTGGCGTACCACAGCTCCCTTGTGACACATTGCCTGAATCCGCTGGTTCCTCCGACTTTGTCCCCGGGCTTCTGGTCAACCACTGCGGCTGCGATGCAGGAGAGATATCCGATTCCGGTGAATCCGCTGCTGTTGACGCGCTATCGGGGTTTGTGTCGACAACGGTAGCTCTTCTCAAGGTGCTATCATCGGCTCCAGCAGCTACTCCAGACAACATCGGAGCCGTGGCACTGAGTGTGGGCGAGGCGTCGTCCCCGGCGTTTTCGTCGACCATTGGGATCGGCTCCTCAGACGCCGTCGGTACCACAAGCTCTTCGGCTCCTTGTATGTCGGCCGTGACCAAGATCTCCGAATCGCCGCCACTCTCCTCCGCCTTCTTCGTTTCAGAACCATCGACGTCCCCACGGCCACTGCCCTTGCGCCACTTTGGCTTGCCGCTTCTAGTGTAGTCCTTGGGCGACGCCTTCGAATCATCACCGGGGGTACCGTTGGCCGGCTTCCACCGATGGGCTGAGTCCACACCGCGGCGGAGGCTGTTCAAGTCCGCTCCGTCTGCCTCTGCTACTGTTTCTGCTGAAGTCACCTGACTGTCCTGCTCCTCCGTCGCACGACCATCGTCCGGCTCTACCGGCGATCGCTCCCCAACGCCAACATCGGACGCCTGGACGACAGTGTCCGGGACGCGACCGCCCCACCACCGACCACGGCCACCGTCGGCTTCAGCCTTGGCCGTCGACTCCGGCTGCGGTGTCGAGACCTCTCCTAGCATACCCGCCTTGGGTTCAGCACCGTTCTTGCTGCCGCCGACAACTGCATCGCTGGCGTCGCTTATAACCTTGTCTGCCGTGTCAACATCATCTTGGATGCTCTCCTCTTCCTTGGCTAGGGAGCCCTTGCCATCATCGCCCCCGTCCTCGCCGTCTGTATCGTCGGTTCTGGGCGTGGCCCTAATCGTCCGTTTGATGCGATCGGCACCAATGTTCGACAGTACGAGACGCGGGCGTCAGTAATATGTTTATCAGGGAAGAAGATCTCAGAGACCGTCGCCCCGCTTACACGAGCGATAACTGCGGAGTCTGCTGGAGGACGGGGACAATCATGGACTTGGGCTACGCGCCTCAAAACCGATCATGATGGAAGACTCAAGAATTTCGGAGATATTATCCGAATGAGCGTTCGGACCACACAAAAACAAATGTCCATCTCGGAGCACGCCGATCAAGCCGTCCGCATGTCTCATGTCATGGCCCATCCCATATTTCCGTCGTCTAATCCTGCAATGACGTTGGACTGCTATCTCCGCAGGTGCTTAGTCGCCACATCCGCCACCATCGCCTGGCCCTCGATCGCTACCGAGTTCAATGATGAATAACCTCCCCCGTCGCTCTCTTCTGGGATTATTTAATCGAGCTCAGTACAACACTCTTGGTTGTCCCCCCCCAGATGCTGTGACCACAGGTTTTTCCGGCGTTGATCCCAGGTGTAGCAAACAAGGGTGGTGACCCTGTTCCACACCCGCTGGCTTGTTTCCACTGTATAGGTTCTCTCGACCTTCATTGTTGTACTTCAGTATGCAATTTTCTTGTCGCAGAAGCTTTCGAGCTCGACGAGTTGGTTGGCGGTAAAGCGGTAACTCAATCCGCGGTCGAAATATGCCCGCCATGGTTAGACCCTTCTAGGGTTGATGTGAATTGGAGTGTGGCCTCTTCTTAGTCGTAGCCCTCGGGAAGAGTATAGGTTGGGTTTGCAATGATTTGAGACGTCCACCTCTCCACCGCACTTCGCTTGGAGGGACTGGAGATCCTGAAGGCTTTGCTCTCCTGGCTAAACCCGCAAAACTTGTCTTCGAACGCCCTGCTGCTGCGTATGGTACAAGATTGCATGATTTTCCCGACGTTTTCTGCCCTGGTGTTACCTCAAAACGGATGGATTTCGCTAGACGACCAGTTGGTTGACCTTACAGCAATAAGTGGGGTCTTTGAACTCAAGTTTGAATGCGTTTAACTCTGCGTATGACTGGGTGAGGAGCTCGGGAGACCACCCCATACACCCAACGGGCACATCCGCGCGAAATGGCAAAACCCGCCAGTGTCCTACATAGTTGGGCTAGACGGCACACCCCACGGGACCTCACCTTGCGTCCGCGGTCTCGGGCGACGTGATCTGCGCCCTCGAATCAACTGCCGTCGAAAAATCTTCGCTGCCACAAGCTGGTTCTCCGCCCAAAGCACTCTCTGTGACACCCTCCTCGGCTGCATCAGCCTCCGCTGTATCCCTCGTGCTAGTCACAAGTTGCTCCGATGAAGACGCAACTCCCGCATCGGTCTGATCACTCGCCCTCAAACCGTCACGAGTGTCCCCGCCGCTAGTGTCTGCAGCGGCAACACCCTCCGCCGATCGGTCATCATCACCACGAGGCGCACCCGAATCATCTATTAATCCACCCTCAGGTGAGTGCCACACTGCACCATCATCAGTTGCCGATGACGACTCCTCATCGTCTTCGAGATCGGCGTGCGGGTCGGCTTTCGTCACGCCGTCTGAGTTAGTGTCCGCAGAGACGGCGCCGCCGACGCCTACAGCGCCTACTCCTAAGACATCTACCACTCCGTGCATCAATGAACCTTCCGCTGTCTCTGTCTCGTCTTGTCCCAATGCCGTCTCCTCTTCCGCGGACGAAACCTCCTCATCAACAGCACCGGTATCATCCACAACCACCGATGCCGTTGGAAGCGGCTCCTCAGACGCCGACGGTACCACGAGCTCTTCGGTTCCTTGTGTGTCGGCCGTGATCGAGCTCTCCAAGTCGCCATCACTCTCCTCCGTCTTCTTCGCTTCAGAACCATCCACGTCTCCACGCCCACTGCTCTTTTTCCACTTTGGCTTGCCGCTTCTAGTGTAGTCCTTGCGCGAGGTCCTCGAAACGTCACCGCGGGTGTCCTCGGCCGGCGTCCACCGAGGGACCAATTCCACATCGCCGCGGACGCTGCTCGAGTCGGCTTCGTCTGCCTCTGCTACTGGTTCTGCGGGATCCAGCTGGCTGTCCTGTTCCTCCGTCGAAGGATCATCTTTAGGCTTTGCCAAAGTCCGCTCCCCAACCCCAACCTCGGACGCGGGGGCGACAGTGTTCAAGACGCGACCGCCCCACCAGCGACCACGGCCACGTCCAGTGCCGGAGGTCGAGGCGTCGGTTTCAGCCTTGGCCGTCGATTCTGGCTGCGGTGTTGAGACCTCTCCTCCCATGTCCGTCTTGGGTTCAGCAGCGTTACCGCTGCCGCTATCTCCACCGCTGGTGTCGGTTGTAGGTTTGGCTTCCGGCTGCGGTGTTGAGACCTGACCTCCCATGTCCATCTTGGGGTCAGCAACCTTGCCGCTGCCGCTGTCATCTCCACCGCTGGTGTCGCTTGTAGGCTTGTCTGCCGTGCCGATGTCGTCTTGCACGCCCTCTTCTTCCTTGGTTACGGCACGCTTGCCATTCTCGTCACCCTCCTTGCCGTCGGTTTCGTCTGCGCTGGGCTTGGCCCTGTCGTCCGTGTGATATGCACCGGTTGTATCGTACAAAGAAAAGTGGATTCCGTGGTGAGTGAAGCACACCGAACAAGGCATGTTTTATTTTGGCGGAGGTAAGGACGGATTTATGAAAACACGGAGTACACTCAGTGCCAAAAAAAGTAGCGAGTGCAGCTGGGATACGGAGCACTCGACAGACAGGCAGCGTGCTGTGAAACGGGTCACAGCAGACCATTAAATGCTGGCCAGTGGAGCGCGGAGAAAGCGTTATCACTCAGTCTAAATCCAAGCGAATGAAATGAAGGCCTGTGAGGACCGAGAGGATTACAGCTGAGTAAATTTTTACATTGTGGTAATGCCACACGTATTGTTGCGGTGTTCGATTGGTGATTCTGGTAGGTTAATTGGAAGTGGGGGGCCTCTCGGCAGTTGATGGTAGTGTCCAAAGGGTCCCGTGACATTGACACCGTTCATGTTTCACCTCACAATGGATGAGTTTTGTCAGAATTCCAGTTGGATCGATCTTACAGCTACGTGGAATTTCAAATTCGATGCGTCGTACTCGATGCATGACTAGGTGGGAGGTCGGAAGACCACCGCATACACCTAGAGGACACACATCGCGCGGCATGCAACACCAGCACGGGCCTTGAGAAGATGAGCTACAGGCGCACACACCCGACACTCGACCTTGCGTCCGCGGGCTCGAGCGACGTGGTGACACCATCACCGGCTGTAGCTTCCTTTGCCCTCTCTCCCGGGCCACTCGAAACTTGCCCCGATGAAGAACCAATCTTCCCATCCGGCTTGTCGGCCGCCGTCAAAGCGTCATTGGAGTCCTGGCCTGGACTGTCCACAGCGACAGCATTCTCCGACGGCCGGTCATCCCCAGCGCCAGAGGCTCGAGAAACATCCACCAACCTGTCAATAGGCGAATCTCCCGTGCCGACATCAGCAACTGCCGATGATGATGCCCCATCGTCTTCAAGATCGGCTTCCGGGCCGGCTGTCGTCACGCGATCGGAACGTCCGTCCACAGAGACGGCGCTGACATCGCCTAAACCTGCCGCGCCCGAGACATCAACCACTCCGTCCTTCACAAAACCTTCCCCTGTCTTTGAATCGTCTTGTCCCACCGTCCTCTCCTCTCCTGTGGACGCCACCGCCTCATCAACTGCAGCAGCGGCCACCGTGGGCTGTTCCACCTTTGGGGCCGGCTCCTCAGACGCCGACGGTACCACGAGCCCTTCGGCTCTTCGTGTGTCGGGCGCGACCGAGTTCTCCAAACCCCCATAACTCTCCTCCGCCCCCGTCCCCTCAGAACCATCCACATTCACACGGCCACTGCCCCTTAACCACTTTGGCTTGCCGCTTCTAGCCAAGTCCTTGCGAGCGGCCCTCGAAATGTCACCGGGGGCGCCCTTCGCCGGCTTCAACCAAGGGAACGAGTCCACATCACTACGGACGCTGCTGGAGTCGGCTCCGTCTGTCTGTGCTACTGCTTCTGCGGGATCCACCTGGCTGTCCTCCTCCACAGTCGCACGACCATCGTCATCGTCAGGCTTTGCCGACGAACGCTCCAAGTCGATAACCTCGGACGCCGGGCCGACAGCATTCGAGACGCGACCGCCCAGCCACCGATCACGGCCACGTCCAGCGTCCGAGGCGGAGGTGTCAGTCTCAGCCTTGGTCGTCGATTCCGGCTGCGGTGTTGAGACCTCACCTCGCGTGTAATTCTTCGACTCAGCAGCAACGACTTCGCTACCGCTACTGCCTCCACCACTGCCATCGCTTGTAGGCTTGTCTGCAGCGTCGACATCGTCTTGGATGCTCTCTGGTGCACCCTTGCCATCGTCGTCACCCTCCTCGCCGTTTGTGTCGTCGGCGGTCAGCTTGGCCCTGTCGTTCGTGTGGCGCGATCGGAGACAATCACACGAAGCAACCGGAGGCCATGACCATTAGAGAACAAAACACAGACGTTTGGTTTTTGGTGGGGGCGAGTCTTGTTTATCGTGGGTACAGAGACATGTAGTTGATAGCCGATGGATCCTACGGCGGAGCGGGCCAATCAATGTATCTTCACCGCCTTCAAGGCAAAATGTCACAGGTACTACATCGATCAAGCATTGCACACCTTCAGCCACGTACGGTGTGCCAACATCCAACGTCATATTGCCGCGTTCAACTGGCGATTCTGACTGTGTAATGGGATGTGAAGGGCTCATGGAAGTGAGATGGCGACTCTATTCCTGACATTTGACTTTGTTCACCATTGACGTCGAAACGGATGGGTTTCGTGATTGTTCCAGGTGGGTTGACCTTGCAAGCTGCATGGAGTTGAGTTGTCCAAGTGCGAGCTCAATGCGCCGCACTCGGTAAATGACTAGCTGTGGTTCGACTTGAAAGGAGCTCGGGAAACAACCACAGCACACAGCGAAAATATCTACCAAACAAAATTGACCGAATGCAACACCAGCAAGGGCCTCGGCATAGCCATAGTCTAGGTTTCACACGCACACTTTGGAAAACCCACCTTGCATCCGCGGGATCGAGCAACGTGGTCTCCACACCCGCACCCAATGCCGTCGACATCATACCGCCGCCTGAAGCTTCTTCTCTGTCCGAAGAACTCCCTACGACACGTTCCTCGGCTGTCCCTCCCTTCGCTGTATCCCTCGAGCTACTGGCAAGTTGCTCCGATGAAGAGCCGACCTCCACATTCGCCTCATCACCCGCCGTCAAGGCGTCGTCGGAGTCCTCGCCTGGACTGTCTTGAGCAACAGCAGCCTCTGCCAGGCTGTCATCCGCAGCACCAGGGGCTCCCGAACCGGTCATCAATCCGTCCACGGATGATTCTCCTGCAGCACCATCAGCAGTTAAAGATGACGAACCTTCATCGTCTTTGACATCTGCTTCTGGGCCGGCCGTCGTCACGCCATCGGAAGTTCCGTCCACAGAGGCAGAGCCGACATCGCTTAAACCGCCTACTCCCGAGCCACCCATCAATGATACTCCCGCTGCCTCCGTCTCCGCTTGCCCCCCCGGTCTCTCCTCTCGTGGGGACGCCATCGTCTCATCAACTGCAGCAATATCATTCACTTCCACCGTGGCCTTTTCCATTTTTGGGGCCGGCTCCTCAGACACCGACGGTACCGCAAGTCCTTTGGTTTCTTGCCTGTCTGCTGTGACGAAACTCTCAAAACCGCTACCACTCTTCTCCGTGTTCATCGCCTCGGAATCACCGACGTCCCCTCGCCCACTGCCCTTTCGCCACTTGCTGCTTCTAGCGTATTGCTTGCGCGACGCCCTCGAACGATCATCAGGGGCACTCTTGACCGGTTTGCCCCATGGGAACGAGTCCACACCGTCACGGACGCTGCTCGAGTCGGCTCCATCTGTCTCTGCTGCTCCCGCTGCGGGATCCACCTGGCTGTCCTTCTCCACAGTCGCACGACCATCGTCAAGCTCTGCAGTCGATAGCTCCGCGGCGCTAACCTCGGACGCCGGGGCGACAGCGTTCGAAACGCGACCGCCCCACCACCGACCACCGCCACGTCCAGCGTCGGAGGTGGAGGTGTCGGTTGCAGCCTTGGCCATCGACTCCGGCTGCGGTGTTGAGACCTCACCTCGGGTGCCTGCCTTCGACTCAGCAGCACCGTTGTCGCTACCGCTGTCTCCTCCACCACTGTTGCCGCTTGTAGGCTTGTCTGCAGCGTTGACATTGTCCTGAATGCTCTCCTCTGAGCTCTTGCCATAGTCGTCACCCTCCTCGCCGTCTGTATCGTCGGCGGTAGGCTTGGCCCTGTTGTCCGTGTGATGCGATCAGACAGCATCGCGCAAAAAGAGGCCATGACGATAGAGAACAACAGACATACTAGGTTTTTGGTGGGGGCAAGCCTTGTTTTCGGTGGGAAAAGGACATACCATGAGGTTTCGATGCAACCATATGTCGTTGACACCTGATGGATCCTACGGGCAAGCAGGCCTTCCCTATTTGTCCATCGCCTTGGAGGGAAAACATCACAGCCACATTGTGGATCGAGCGTTGCACTACAGTGCCAACACCTACACCATTTAGACAGCATACGGCGTGCCAACGTCCAACGCCATGAACTGGCGATATGGTAGTGTACTGGGTCGTGGAGGGTCTCATGGCTGTAGATTCGACAGTCCAATCCCGGTATTGACTTTGTTCACCGTTCACCTCGAAGCGGATGGGTTTCGTCAGCGTTCCAGGTGCGTTGGCCTTGCAAGCTGTATGGAGCTGTCCACACGCAAGCTCATTGCACCGCACTCGGTATACGATTGTGGTTCGACTTGACACGCAGAAATTTGGGAAACAGCACGAGACACACCAAAAAATCTACTTACCAAACAAAATCTACCGGATAGAACACCAGCAAGGACCTGGGTATAGCACCTGGGTATGGTCGAGGTTTCACACGCACACGTTAGAAAACCCACCTTGCATCCGTGGCCTCGAGGGACGTGGTCTCCACACCCGCACCCGACGCTGTCGATATCAAACCGCTGCTTGTACTATCTTCCTTGTCCGAAGAACTCTCTGCGACACCGTCTTCGGCTGTCCCTTCCTTCGCTGTATCCCTCGGGCTACTCGGCAGTTGCTCCGATGAAGAACCGACCTCCACATTCGCCTCATCACCCGCCGTCAAGACGTCCTCGCCTGGACTGCCTTCGGCGACAACGGCCCCTGCCTGGCCGTTATCCCCAGCACCAGGGGCTCCCGAGCCGCTCATCGTTTCGTCCACAGATGATTCTCCTCCAGCGCCGTCGGTAATCGAAGAAGAGGATACTTGATCGTTTGGAAGACTGGGACATGGGCCGGCCGTCGTCACCCCATCGGAACTTCGGCCCACAGAGATAGTGCCGCCATCGCCCAAACCACTTAGTCCAGACATATCTGCCGCTCCGCCCACCAATGATACTCCCGCTGCCTCTGTCGCAACTTGCTCCCCCGTCCTCTCCTCTTCTGGGGACGCCACTGCCTCATTAACTGCAGCAGTACCATCCACGGCGGTATCCTTTTCTACCTTTGGAAGCTGCTCCTCAGACGCCGACAGTACCACAAGCTCTTCGGCTCCTTGCGTGTCGGCCGTGACCGAGCTCTCAAAATTCCCACCTCTTTCCTCTGTCTTCTTTCCTTCAGAACTGCCGACGTTCGTGGGCGCAGAAACACCGACGTCCCCACGGCCACTGCCCTTTCGCCCTCTTGGCTTGCCGCTTCTTGATAAATCCTTGCGCGATGCCCGCCAACCATCACCGAGGGCGCTCTTGGCCGCCTTCCACCACGGGACTGAGTCCACACCATCCCGGACACTGCTCGAATTGGCTTCATCCGCCTCTGTTACTCCTTGTGCGAGATCCACCTGACCGTCCTGTTCCTCACCCGGAAGCCCACCGTAAGGCTCTGACGACGCTCCCTCCCCAACGTCGACCTCGGACCCGCGCCACAACGGACGACGGCCTCGCCCAGCCTCGGAGGCGGAGCTGTCGGTTTCAGTCTTGGTCGTCCATTCCAGCTGAGGTGCCGACACGTTACCTTGGGGATCCGCTATCGACCCAGCACCTTTATCGCCGCCGCTGTCGTATCCACCGCTGGTGTCGCTTGTAACCTTGTCTGCAGGGTCGACATCGTCCGTGATGTCCTCTTCTTCCTTGGCTGGGGCACCCTTCCGATCATCGTCGCCCTCCTCGCTGTCTGTATCGTTGGCACTGGGCTTGGCCCTGTCCTCCGTGTGATGCGATCAGAGAGTACCACACGAAAGCGAAACGGAGGCCATGACGATTAACGTACATGAAACAGACATGGTTCTTTTGGTGGAGGCAAGCGTTGTTTTTGGTGGATACAGGGATGTGTGCGTTGCGACACCTGATGGATCCTATGACGAAGGGCACCGTCCCTGGTTGGTATTCGTCGTTGGGGTACATCACAGGCAAATTGTGGATTCGAGAGCTGCACTGCAGTGCCTACAACTGCAACCAATAGGACAACGTACGGCGTGCCAACGTCTAACGTCATATTGGCATGTTCGCCTGATGTCTGGTAGCTGAATGAAACGTCGGGGACCTCTGGGCACTTGATTGGGTAATTCACTCCTGATACTGCGTGTGTTCACCGTGCACCTCGAAACCGATGGATTTTCGTCATTATCCCAGTTGGATCGACCATGGTACCCGTATGGAGTCGTCCAAATGCAAAACGCGATGCGTCGCACTGCGTATCCCACTACAACCAGTGATCCGAAATAACAAGAGCTCAGGAAATAACCATGAAACACGCCCAATGCATCTGTCAAACCAATCGCACCGCATGAAACGCTAGCAAGGGCCTGGGCAAGCCTAGGTTTCACACGCACACTTTGGAAAACCCACCTTGAATCCTCGGGCTCGAGCGACGTGGTCTCTGTGCCCGCACCCGATGCCACCGACATGGTACCGCTGCCTGGAGCTTCTTTGTCCGAAGAAATCTCTGCGACACGATCTCTGACTATCGCTTCATTCGGTGTATCCCCCGGGTTACTCGGCAGTTGCTCCGATGAACAAACGACTTCAACATTCGCCTCATCACCCGCCGTCAAATAATCATCGGAGTCCTTGCCTGGACTTTCTACAGTGCCTACAGCCTCTGCCAGGCTGTCATCCGCAGCACCAGGGGCTCCAGAACCGCTCATCAACCCGTCAAGAGCTGAATCTCCTGCAGCACCATCAGCAGTTGCCGATGAGGACCCCTCATCGTCTCCCAACTTGGCGCCCGGGTTGGCTGGAGTCACGCCATCGGAGCTTGCATCCACAGAGACAGCGCCGCCAACGCCTAAACCACCAACTCCAGAAATGTCCACCGCTCCTCCCATCAATGAAACTCCCGCTGCCTCTCTCTCGCCTTTTCCCACCGTCCTCTCCTCTCCTGGGAACGCCACCGCCTCATCAACTGCAGCAGTACCATCTACGGCCACCGTAGCGGTTTCCATCTTTGGAGGCGGCTCCTCAGACGCCGACGGCACCACGAGCCCTTCGGCTCCTTGCGTGCCGGCCGTGACCGAGCTCTCCGAACCGGCACCACTCTCCAGCTTCTTCGCTTCAAAACCACCGACGTCCCCACGCCCACTGCCGTATCGCCACTTTGGCTTGCCGCCTCTGGCGTAGACCTTGCGCGACGTCCTCGAACCATCGCCGGGGGCGCCCTTGCCCGGCTGCAACCAAGGAAACGAGTCCACATCGCCACGGACGCTGCTCGAGTCGGCTCCGGCTATCTCTGCTACTGATTCTGCCGAATCAACCTGACTGTCCTGCTCCTCAGTCGCACGACCATCGTCAGGCTCTGCCGAAGCTCGCGCCCCGACGCTCACCTCGGGCACCGGGGCGACAGTGTCCGAGACGCGACCGCCCCGCCACCGACCACCGCCACTTCCAGCGTCGGAGGCGGACGTACCGGTTGCAGCCTTAGCCGTCGATTCCGGTTGCGGTATCGCGACCTCACCTCGCATGTCCGTCTTGGGTTTCGTGCCGTTATGGCTGCCGCTGTCATCTCCACCACTAGTAGCCTCTTCTGCAGCGTAGGCATCGCCTTTAATGATACTTTCTTCCTTGACCAGGGCACTCTTGTCATCGTTGCCCTCCTCACCGTCTATATCGTCGGAATCGGGCTTTGCCTTGTCGTTCATGTGGTGCGATCTGACAGTATCACACCAATGCAAACCGGAGGCCACGGCTTTTTAGGATAAAAGAACAGACGTGTGTGGTTTTGGAGGGGGCAAATCTCGTTTTCGGTGGGTACAGGGGTATATATCGTTGACAATCAATGGATCCTATGGCGAAGCGGGGCAATTCCCGTCTATTCACCGCCTACGAGGGAACAAGTTATAGCCACTTTGTGGATCGAGCGTTGAAGTGCAGTGTCTACACCTTCAACCACGTACGGCATGCCAGCGCCAAACGTCATATTGCCATCTTCGACTAGTGATTCTAGGAGTTAAATGGGATGTGGAGAACCTCTGCGCAGGTTCTTGGAGAGGCTGTCGTGATCCTTTATGCGCGATTCGCTTCGAAACGGATGGGCTTCGTCAATATTCCAGTTGGATTGACCATGCAGCCGTTTGCAGGCCTCCAAATGCAAGTTCGATACGTCACACTTGGTATATCATTAGCTGTGGTTCGACTTGACACGCAGGAGCTTGGGGAAAAAACACGGCAGACACACCGAAAATATCTATCAAACCAATCGTACCACATGAAATGCTGTTAAGCAAAGCCCTGGGTATGGTCGAGGTGTCACACGCACACGTCAGGAAACCCACCTTGCATTCGCGGGATCGAGCAACGTGGTCTCCACACCCGCACCCGATGCCGTCGACATCATACCGCTGCCTGTACCTTCTTCCTTGTCCGAAGAACTCTCTGCGACACCGACTGCGGCTATCGCTTCCTTCGCTGTATTCCTCGGGCTACTGGTAAGTTGCTCCCATGAAGAGCCGACCTCCACGTTCGCCTCATCACCCGCCGTCAAGGCATCGTCGGAGTCCTCGCCTGGACTGTCTTCAGCGACAACAGCCTCTGCCAGGCTGTCATCCGCAGCACCAGGGGCTCCCGAACCATCCATCAACCCGTCCTCAGATGAACGCCTTGCGCCGGAGCTGGAGCTGTCGGTTTCAGCCTTGGGCATCGATGCCGGCTGGGGTGTCGAGACGTCGCCTTGTTTGTCAGTTTTTGACTCGGTACGTTTACCGCTGGAGCTTCCGCCTCCACTACCGAACCCGCCGGTGTCCCTTGCGGCCTTGTCTGCCACGCCGACATCGTCTTGTATGATCTCTTCTTCCTTGGCTAGGGCACTCTTGCCATCATTGTCGCCTGTATCGTCGGCACCGGGCTTAGCCCTATCGTCCGTGTGATGCCATTGGTTTGTAACACAAAAAGAAAAACGAAGGCTATGACGATAAGCAAGACGGACACGTTTCGTTTTTGGAGCAAGTCCTGTTATTGGTGGGCGCTAGGACATATCATTGACATCGGAAGGATCCCATGGTGAAGCGGGCCGAACTCCGCTTGCCCGTCGTGTTCAATGAAAAATGGTTTACTCCTGACATCAATATCGTTCACGATTCCCCTCAAAACAAACGGGGTTGTCAGTGTTCCCGTTGGATTTACCATGCAGCCGCATGGGGTCGTCCAAATGCAAGTTCGATGCGCCGCACTTGGTAATGGAGTTATTAGCTGAGTTGATTCAACTTGACAAGCAGGAGCGAGGGGAACAACTACACACACCATAACTATCCACTGGTCCACGGCATGCAATACTTACAAGGCCGTGGGGTATAAGTTACAGACGCACACTTTAAAGACCTGACCTTGCATCCGCGGTCTCGAGCGATGGGGACTTCCCGCCCGCACCCGCTGTCTTCGATATGCCCCCGCTGTCTGTAGTTTGTTCTCCGTCAATAGCACTCTCCGTGACACCTCTGTCGGCTGTAGCATCGTTGGCAAATTGTTCGGATGAAAACCCAATCTTCACATCCGCCTGATCAGTCGCCGTCAGGGTGTGATCGGTGTCCTCGCCTTCAGTGTTTACAGCAACACTAGCCTCCGCCGGGCTCTTATCGTCAACACCAGGAGCTGCCGAATCATCTGGCGATCCGTCCACAGATGAATCTCGTGCTGCAACATCAGCCGTTCCCGATGACGACGCCATCAGGTCCTCGAGATCGGCATTTGGGCCGGTCAGCGACTGGCCACCGGCATCTTTGTCTACAGCAACTATAATTTCCACTTCTGCAGCAGCTCCTGAGACATCCCCGACACCGTCTGTCGACACCTCTCCCGCAGCCTCTGTCTCGCCCTGCCCCACCGTGTTCTCTCCTGCGGGCGCCACCTCCACATCAACTGCAGCAGCAGCATCCATGGTCGCGGGAACGTTTTCCGCCGTTGGAACCGACACTTGTGTGTCGGCCGTGACCGAGCTCTCCAAATCTTCACCAACCTCCTCCGTAGTGGCTTCAGGACTGCGACTACTGCTACCGCTGCCACTGTCACCTCCACCACTCACGCTGCCGTCGCTTGTGTCTTTACCTGCCATGAGGATATCGTCATTGATGCTCTTTTCTTTCGCTAGGGCAGCCTTTCCATCCACATCGCCCTCCTCGACGCCTGCACCATCGGCACTGGGGTCGGCCCTGCGTCCGTGTCAAGCGATTCGGATTATACCCCGCGCAAACACAAACCCCCATGCACGCATTTCCTTCAGAGGAGGTCTGCGTGCAGGTCCCAGCGTGTTTGTAGTGTTGCATGCAATGCCTTCAGAGGAGGTCTGCGTGCAGGCCCCGGCGTGTTTGCAGTGTTGCATGTACCGCCTTCAGAGGAGGACTGTGGGCAGAACCCAGAGTGGCTTGTAGTTTTCCAGGGAAAATGCCAAGGACATATTAGAGTAGAGTGTCAAAGCATAACTTTGAGCAAATATCCACCATTTACATTCTCAAAAAAAAAACCGAGGATTTGGTGGTAAGTTTAATTAAGAAATATGATAAATTTTCTCTTTGGTTTTGGGGGACATGTATGCCGCGGGGTCTTCAACGACCACCTTTAAAGTTTGACGTTCAAAAGGCGATTCTGGCAGACTAAAAAGGCGTATGATCTGTCCCTCCTACGTCGGTGGTAGAAATGCCCATATCTCCTCAATAGCCGTTTTGGTGTTGTTCACGCCGAACCTCAAAATCGTATTGGTATGGCTAGCGTCCCCACTGGATCTTGTCGCTATAGATCGGTGATTGTCCCTGCAACAGCTTGATGCGTCGTACTCCGTGTCCTCAGGTGTCGTCCGACAAGAAGACAGGTCCGAAAATCGATTCATGTTCCAAAACGTATTGGTAGACTAGGCACATGTAGGGCAGGTGATGGTACACAAAAAGAACATAGATTAGGCTACAGGCACGCAGGCTACAGACCCTACCTTGCATCCGCGCTCTCGAGCGACATGGGCTCCGTGCACGCATCCGCTGACGTTGATATGCCGCTTCCACCTGTAGCTTCTCCTCCGTCCGAACAACCACCTGCGATATCTTCTCTCGCTGCAGCTTCCTTCGCCCTGTCTCCCGGGCTACTCCCAAATTGCTCCGATGAAGAATCAGTTGCGCCCGCTGCATCAGTCGCCGGTAATCGGGAATCGGAGTCCTCGCTCTCAGTCTCAACAGCGACAGCAGTCTCCACCGGGGTATCATCGTCAACATCAGGGACTGCCGAATCA